AGAATCCCAACACCAGTATCCCAATAACATTTTCAATGATATTAGTGGCATAATAGGTTTTATGGGTTTTTTTTAGTTTCCCTTGACTGTGATTTTGAAACTGACTTGTGCGCATGGCAATCAGTCCGAGGAACCAATCGGTACCCATGGGCTCGACATACTGGGAGAACACTCAGCTGGGGAACGGGGCCGAACGGTGACTCCACAGGATCTACTTCCGGTAATTATTAGCAACATATATATGATAATAGAATTCAGTTTTACACTTGTGGGCGGCGCGAGGGTAAGCCATACGAGTACGCCATTCAGTCTCACCTCTCTCTACTCTGAATTGCATGTTCACTGTGAAAGTCTGATCGCTAAATTAACAAACGTTTTCTTCTCCTTGGAATATCTAGGATACTAGGACGTTGGCCTCTCTTTCAAATCATAAGTTTATAAGTTTTGACTATGTCTTCCACTGTTGATACTTCACCCCCCACCGCTCAGTCTGTTGGTGCGGCTTTCTTTCGAACGGTTTACTAAAACACTGTATTATTTCTATATCATCAGGATCCTATGTTTACATGGAAACATCTCATCAATATGGGAAAGGACAAACAGCGTATCTTGTCAGCCCTGAAGTAGCACCATCCAACAGCTCGCACTGTCTGAGTTTCTTTTATCATATGTATGGCCGAACCATGGGGAGCTTGACCGTTAACATCAAAGACAGACAACAAAATTCAGTGTTGTCAACAATAACTGGAAATCAAGGCAACTCTTGGCATTACAAAGAAGTCACCATTACGAGCCTTCGTACATACCAGGTAGATATCAAATCTTATTTAATAGAACACGCTGACATGGACAGCGAGAGTTGAGCTTTGGAATTCGGATCGGAATTTGTGAACAAAAAGACCGGTAATGTTTGGGCATCAAACGATCTATTTTCTAAAAATGTATAATATTAATTAAATAAATAAATAACAAAAATATAAATCCACTCTAAGCCTAGTTTCATCTCTTTAAACCGACGACGTAAATTCAGTGTTTTCAACTATTTTTTTATGGTGTTAAATTTATATTTTACATGCAACTGGTTTCACGAATACAGTACTTACCCGCTTATACGAACCTGCAATTTTTAAATGGGGTCTAAATTGATATTTTTAGGCTAAAAGAACCTGTTAGCCTAAAAATATCAATTTAGACCCCATTTACATAAGAACCTATTTATCCTAAAATTTGAAACAGGTTCCTATAGAAATTCAGCTCAAAAATCTTCATGTAAAAATACATACTCACACTGTAGTAGCTTGTAGTGAACTTGAACATGTATACACATCTAAATTTGGTATAAAAAATGTTTGAATACCTTGTAAATTTTCATTACATAAGGGATAAATTAGAACCTATTTACGAACCTGCGTAGCCTAAAATTCCACTGATTAAGCACCATGTACTGTATAGTGCCAGTCCCAATTTGATTTTTTTAGCTCATCAGATCCCACTGGTGTTCGTTTCAAAATTCATTTGTCCAGTTGTTTCAACAATTCCTGACTTCGTTTATGTTCTTAACCGCGAAAAACTCATTGCAAGCTATTGTGCGCTACATTTGTATTTTTCAGATTGTCTTCGTGGGAGTGCGAGGAGAGTCCCATCTTAGTGATATTGCTATTGATAACATCAAGTTCAAAAAAGCTCCATGCCAAAAAGTCCCATGGTTGAAATGAGAACCACCGCTTGCTAGTAGAAGAAATGTCATTCTGAAATCTTATGCGGGATTTTGAAAAGCAAAAAAAATAATTCAAGATGGCGGCAACTATCAACTGTTAATGCATGTTATCATTTTAGTCTTTTTTGTTGGGTATTAATAAATGGGGGAAAAATACATAGTTTTCCTGTTTGTCATATATCAGTAATGAACATCGTTTTGAAAACATTCTTAAAAAAACGATAACCATAAATTTCATAAATCCACGTGACCTGCGGATCAAGAAACACTCATTGTAGATCTGAAACCCTTATTAGTGAGTTTAGTGTTATTATTGTTTTGTTCTCTAATTGAGCTGTCTGAATCACTGATTTTTGCCATGTTGGTCGTCTTCTTCAGGATTTTATTGCATAGATTGAATCTTTGTAATGAGTGGCTTCCAAAAATCAATGTCCGCATGAATATCTGTTAAACAAGTTATTTTTGTTGTTTTGAGCTTTCACGCTCTCCAGAGACTCCAGGTATATTCTTTTGTCGGTGTTGGTCTCCTGGTTTATTATCTTGCACTTGTCCCATTGTTATGTGGGCATATCTGATCGTGTTTCGCAAGTCCTCCATCTCCGGTGGTTATTCTCCTTTCAGCTTGTTCGATTCTATCTTCAGCGATGTCTTTTCTTGCTAGTCGAACCTTGCTTTCATGTTCTTTTTTCCTTGTATCCCATTTTCTTCCAGTCTCTCCTATGTATTCGTATTTTTCACAGCCGCACGGAATTTTATAGACTACGTTCGACCTCTTGTCTCCAAGTGGTTGTCGGGCCTTTGTTCTTAGATCTTTTACTTTGCTCCCTGGTTTCATGGCTATTCTAAAGCTGTATTTTGATGCTATACGTTTGAATTGGTGTGATAGGCCGTTGATATGCATGGTACAACGTATGTTTCTCGCTGGTTCTCTGTTGTGTCTTTTGTATTCGTTTGGGTGTCTTTTTTCGTTTGGTGTATCGTTTCCTTGATTTCCTCCTGTGTGTATTCATTTGCTACGAATACCTCTTCGACGTTTTCCAGTTCGGCTTCTACTTTATTTTCGTCGTTGCATAGGTGTCTTGCTCTCTCCGCGAATCCTTTAATGACGGCTCTTTTGATGTGCGGTGGATGGTTAGATTTCTTTTTGATGTTGATGTTAGTGTTCGTTTTCTTGTAATGAGCGTCGAATTCGATGCGCTTCGTTTTTCTGTTGATATTACAAATCAAATGGCTGTTGAAGACGACGAAGGTTCAAATTGTATAAAAATATTCAACTTGAGCAAACTGAAGGAAGAAGCTTATTAAGATTTGATTGATTGTAAATTTTTTACATGTCAATAGGCATGGAATGGATCTCTTTTTGGGTTGACTATAGC